TCAATGTGGTTATTCCAGGGAAGGTCAGATGTTAGTCTTACACCAAGGTATTTATACACAGTAGCGGTCTCAATCAGATCGGAGTCCAAGAAGTAATTAAATGACAGAGTGGTTTGTTTCTTGGTGAAGTGGATTAGTTTGCGTTTATACTTGTTTGGTGACATAATCCACTCTTTGCACCAATTGTTATTTTTATCTAGATCTTCCTGAAGCTGGTTATTATTTTGCACACAAGTTACTTTGTTATGGATGACGCAGTCGTCGGCGAAAAAGCGTTTTTTTGAAGAAATCCCAATGGGAATATCATTAATAAATATTAAAAAGAGTAAGGGTCCAAGTACGAACCCCAGGGGAACACCAGGAGATACATTTATTAAGGAAGATTCATGATCATCATGGACGTGACCTGTACACGGGAAAAAAGAAAGTCACGAATCCATGCAAACGGTTATTGGTCGAGGCAAAAAGATGATAGCTTAGAAAGAAGGCGTTGATGGAGGACACGGCCGAACGCTTTGGAAAAAAAAAAAAAAAAAAACTGCGTCAGTTTGGACGTGACATTCAAGGTTAGTGTGCAAGTCATGGATGAAGTCGCAGAGTTGCTTTTCGCAGGAAAGTACCTTTTGAAAACCGTGCTGCTGTTTAAAGAAAAGAAATGGGATGATAGCCCTACTGAAAAAAACCATTTGAAATTCAAACGGGTGGTAAACTGGTCGCCCGTTTGAATCAAACCTGTCGATCCGTTTGGATCAAACGTGATTATGGGATACGGGTACCCGTTCGAAACGGTACCCGTTTGATACAGGTGCCCGTTTGATACGGGTGCCGTATGGTACGAGTACCCGTTCGACATGGCACGTGACCACACGTTTGAACGTGCCCTTCGAAATTGCAAATTATGCGCTAGCCCTAAATGGGTATCGTCTGGGAGGTTGGTTATCTTAAACATATTTAAGACGTCCCGAAACTCATAAACGTATTTATAACATGGAGAAAACACGTAGAACAAATGCACTCGCGTAGGTGCTTGTAAGTGGACAGGAAAACCGACACAAAAGATTGTTTTCAATTCTCCTCGAAGTTTATTACCTCTTCTGTAGACAAGTATAAACGTGCAAGCGATCTGTGAACACTATACAGGTAGACTTTCGGGGAAATTATTCTCCTGGCTGCCGCGCGAATAGGCGCTGCATAATTCTTTAGATAATTTAGAAGAGTACGCGTAGAAGAACGGTCAATCGTTGCCAACACGTAGCTTGCAGTGCACTTACCATAACAATAGCGGACTTGAAAGAGGTAATCCGTGATATTTGTCGACACGGTCAAAGCAGGACAACCACACAAACACAAACGAGAGGGAACGGCTCCTTGGAAGTTTCAACACGATGCGGCGCACAAGCTGTCATTTGCCGAACCCAACCAAACCGCGAGAATTTGCGACTTCTTTGAAGAATCGCTCATTGCCGACATACACGTGGGTCTTTTCGAACACTGATAGCTTTGGTGTACATCCAATACGTTGTCGAGACATCCCAATAAGACCGCAGGGTTAGGCGACAGATTGAAGCAGGTAGGACGAGCGAACTTCGAGCAGCAACTGACAACAAGCAGACAAAGAAAAAAGCGGCTGCAAGGCGCGCCCTTCCGGATCTCGATGCTTATCAGCGTGTAGCTCGCGCGCTGCTGTGGGTCACGTGACAGGGGTGACAAGAGAGGAGGGAGGGGGCGAGGTCAAGGCGCTGGGACCACCGGGACAGCCCAACACCACCTAGATGGAAAGCCGCAGCGCTTCCCTCTCTCCCTTCAAGGAGCGTCTGCATGAGTAGGCTGAACTGGTAGTGCGCTTCTCCGCAAGGCTCCCCTGATAGTTGGCTTCTTTGCAGTGCACGTTCCCTTTTACTTTTTTTTTTCTCTCTCTTTCTCTCTCTGCTAACGACACGGAGCTTTTTCTTTTTTCTTTTTTTAGTTCGTGCTTGAGAAAACCCGGAAAACCTAGGCCGCCCCGGGTTTTCTCAACGAACGTCTACCGCGTTCGTTTCATTCAAGGGTGTGTTCGAAATGTTTTTCAACTGTGCGTACTGTGCGTGTTAGCTACTCCTGCGGGTCAGATCACATGACAACAAAGACGGATTAACCAACGAGGACGAAGCTGGACACAAGAAAGTTTTCGAACGACAAGGTCAGTAACTCTTCCGTGAGATGGAGTATGTTTTGGAACACACCACAGTTCTCCTCGTGTCTTGTGGCGCCAGTTCAAACAGTTCTGTTTGTTTCGGTTGAGGTTCGGTGCAACGATGCCGTATAAATGTTGTGTACCTCGCTGCCGCGGGAATTATGACAGCGCAACTGGTATAGCCGACCTTAAAGTTTCTATATTCAAGTTTCCGCAAGATGAAGAACTGCGGAAGACTTGGATTCGAGCTATTCCCCGGGAAAACCTCGTGGTTTCTCAGAATACTAGGGTGAGACCTTCCCGCTCTTTGTTTTCGTTGGTCCCTTGACAGGATGCAAACATTATGGGTGTTATCATTGCGGCATTGAAGCAAGGAATTCAACTGCTGAGCAGGTTGTTCCTTTAGGCATGGGACTAAACAATGACCTAATTGACTTGACGATCTTAAGTTCGATGCTGTTTCGGAAGTTATGCAACTTATAAATGATCGCTGTGGCAACTTGCGCATTGATGTAAATAATTAAATCGAAGCACATCATGTCGTTTTTGCGTATAAGCATCGGAGCGCAGAAAGTATCTGTCTCTAGTAAGTAACATATTACATCCAGTTTTCGAGTTGCTGTGTACGCGCAGGTAGCAATGATTACTTGACAATTTTAGGTATACCTAAAACAGAGGCACTACTTGAGATTCGGCTTAGCACATAAGACTCCCATAAGGGCCACGTCAGTGCAGGCGGTTCTCTAGAGAAAATATTAATGGGGCGTTTCTTTCTTTTATTTCAAACACGCGTGTCGGGGCGTAGATTTGGATGTCGTGCAATTAGGTATAACATTAATAACCTCATGTCTATTTGAAAGAAAATCAGTTTAATATATACATATTTTTTAATATGTAGCTTTACGAAACACGAGAGAAAAAAAAAAAAAGTCAAGCAAGGTGAGAATTGTATTTCGTGCTCGCGGTAATTGCACGTAGCTCTCTTAATTCGCATGAATATAGAAAAAAAAAAAAAAACTAAGTTTAGTGTGTTGTGTGTGTCGATCTATGGTACACAACCCATTTTTATGAGTAAACATGTATTTTGACATATGCAATAGCCATGATAAAAATGTCATACATCGTAATTTACACAATCTGGCGACACATGCCATTCGGAGCCGTATCCCTCAATATGCATTACCGATAACGCCTACCAAATGTTGTATGCATTGTCAACAAACTGGTAGAGTTTCTGTTTATTTCGGAGTAGCGAAATATATTTAAGAAATTAGAAATTTTATGAGGTTGAACGTTAGCAACGGTTTTAACCAGTTTTACTAAACAAGCCATTTAGATTTTCCGCATAATTTTTCTAGTTATTCCCTATCATATTTCCCTCCCAGTGGCCGCTGCCGATTTTCTCCCTTTTCGTTGCAGTTCTTGCACAAGCGGTCAAATATACATTTCCGCAGATTCGGGCAACTGGGTGCGTATACGCACCCAGTCGCCCGAATCCACGGAAATGTAGTTTCCGCTGGTTAGCTTACCCGCAACGCGATATTATAAATGTCGCTTGCTAAATGCTATTCGCATATTGTCCTATAGCCAGCCGGCAACAGCAAGGTGGCGCCGGCAGAATGAAAGCCCACGGTTATACCCAGAGCTACCCTGTCTTGTTATAACTTGGCAAAGGGTGAACAAGCCCCACATTTCGTTCCGACGGCTTCGGTATGCGCTGCGTATAGACGCTTTACAGCAGCTGTGCATAGGCGCCGCCATAACCGCCCTTCAGTTTTTTGTTTTCGCTTATATTTTTCACTCTGCTCCATCATTACCACAGGAGGACGGGCTACTGGCATTTTAGATACGACGGTGTCTTTTTCCCCAGCATTTGCCTTTGTGGAGGCTCGCCAAAGCCCGCTTCAGTGGTTTGATTTCTCGGTAAGACAATAGAAGGTCGGCAATGGCGTCTGTAATCTGGCGCGTGTGTAAAGCGTCTATACGACCGCAAGGCACATATATTGGAGCATGACGCAGCGAAAATCCAGATACTTCTTGGCAGTACAAGCGCACTCCGGTGATACGTAGTCACGTTCCGATAGGCCCGCCAGGGCCGTAGCTTCCGCGACCACGGCTTTCTGGCCTACCCAGTATTTCTTGCTTGAGACACTAGGCTAAAGGCGCATTCCCACCGGCGATGTAAGCAGTCGCGAGATGCGACTAGATCGCACCGCAAAAAAAGCTAGATGGTCACACCGGCGTGCGCGATGAGCGAGTCCGATCCAACGCCTTCGTTGGCGAGTCGTTTCTCAAAAACTCTCGCTCCGAACGCCGTCGATTGGCTCAGCCGCTCCGCGACGAGATCGCATCGCAAAAAAGTCGGGTCGAGTAGCGACTGCTCAAATCGCGTCGCTATTTGCCCGCGATGGTCGCTTTTGCGATGAAAGTTATCGCGCGACTAGTTCGCATCGCCGGTGGGAACGCTCCTTAAGGGGCGCCACCAGAGTGTTAGCTCACGTTGGAATAATGGAGCCGCCACTCCAAGGCAAACCCAGTGTTCTTGCTTCATAGAGAGCGCCAAACCAAACAGCATTGCAGGTTGCCTCACACTTACAAAATATAAAAATTGACAATCATCTTTAATTTATTTTTTTAATTTTGTTTGAAATAGTTTGTGATAATAATTACAGCTATACTATTGACAGTCAGTAGCCCGGATATATGACTGCAGGTGACAATTATCCAGCAAGCGACATTTACGATCATCACGTTGCAGTGAAGCCATGCAAACAGCGGAAGCTCACACGCCTGTTCGATTTCAACTTTAGTTTGGGACTTTTAGGCCATGTCAGTGTGACCTATAGTATAACCTTATGTCCAAACTAACGCGCATAGCATTTCACCTGCTTCCTAGGGTTCTTGGGCTCCCGTTACATAAGTTACCCAAGTCACACTACACAAGTCTGGCGGCATCCAGCTATTCAAGCGGCCAGGTTTCATTACCTTAAAAACAACTAGGAGCAAGGGCCACCAATTTTTAGGTACTTGGCGAACTCTCGAAGGCCTTTCAAAAGGGTGAAAAAGTTCCATCTGCCAAGCTTGTGCAACATTCGGGCCAATTTAGCGGAACGTTTTTTAAGATATTTCATCTGTTACACACGAAGTCAAATCTTCGTTCTAGGTCTGCGAGCTTCATTTTGCCGACGAAGTTATCATACGGGAGGCGTCTTATGTTGACGATTCTTCGGGGCGCACACTGACAGCGCCTCTGACGCACCCCCGCCTTCGCCCGGACGCAGTCCCTTCGAAGTTCCCGCACTGCCCCAGCTACCTGTCCACTCAAAACACCACAAGAGAGAACCCCGACTCCAAAAGAAGGCGTCGGCATACCGCCGACATGGAGACCGCAATTTCAGACTCCATTAAGACCTTCCAATCTGAAAAAGAAACAGACACCATCCTCAGCCTCACAGATCTTGCCGACTACCTGAGAAGTCGGCAGTCTACGTTTTGGCATCTGATTGAAGGCGGTGGACACTTAACCTTAGTGCACATCGTTGAAGACGACGCACCATGGATTAAGTACTCGGTTGTTGTTAGAGAGGACATGACTGTTACCCTACATTTGGTGAAGACACCAATCACTAAGTTGGGATCCCATCTGCAGGTTCCCGCTGTCGCAGAGAGCAAGAGGGCAGTGACTAAGTTCCTTGAAGATGTCGAAAACTGGAACAGCAACCTCAATTCAGGTTCCCAAGATTTGGATGAAGACATTTGCGAGATGATTAGATTGCTGCTCGCCAAGTTGTCCGTGACGTCAACAGTCGACAAGGTCCACATCATCCAGTTCCTCACTGAGCAGTTGAAGCTACTCTCAGAAAAGAAGGAGCAGCGGCGTTACTCAGCTGACTTCATGGTGTTTTGCTGCCTTTTTTTCACAATCTCCCCCCATGCCTATAAGTACGTTCGCAGCCATGGGAGCATTTTTCTGCCGCATCCGATGACCATCCGACGGATATGCTCGTCGTACGGAACGAACCCCCAACAAGAGCATCAAAGTCAAACGTTCCTCTCCTACATGCAGTCAAGGATCCATGTTCTGGATGATCGCCAACGTTTCGTGACATTGATGGTGGACGAGATCCATATCAAGCCTTACTATGATTACAAAGGGGGCAACATTACGGGTGCGGCACTCAACTCCACAGAAACAGCCAACAGCGCTGTTGTTTTTATGGTCCAAAGTCTCACGTGCACTTTCAAGGAAGTTGCTCACATCGTCCCTGTGCACAGAGCTGACGCAGAGTTTTTGCACAAGTTGTTGAAAGATGTGATATGTGGACTGGAGAAGATTGGGTACAAGGTTACGTGCGTCGTAACTGACAACAACTCTGTGAACAGCAAGGCAATGTCCTACTTTCTGTCGGTACCAAAGCTTAAAAGAAACAGAGCTCCGGATGAAGGGATAAATGAAGGATATGTGTATCCACATCCGTGTGATCCTTCCAGGCCACTGTTTTTTGTGATTGACTCGGTGCACATTCTGAAGTGCATAAGGAACAATTGGCTCAACCAAGGTAATGACCGACATGTCTTCTACTTTCCTGAGTTCCAAGCTGAGTCCACACGTGAGCGGCACATGCTTTCTGCATCTTTTGCAACTATCAGGGAAGCCTACAACTTGGAGTGCGACCAGCTGTTGAGGTATGGCCACAGCCTGTCAAGAAAGGCTCTCTGTCCGTCGAACATCGAGAGACAAAACGTGAAACTCGCTTTGCAGATCTTCAACGACTCTCTGCCCCCGGCCCTTCGGTCCATTGGAGTGAAGCACAATCTGTTACACTTTGAGGGAACGGCAAGTTTCATCGAGATCATAGTCAAGTGGTGGAAAATCGTGAATGTGAAAACTCCGAACAAAGGAAGGAGACTAAAAGACGACTTTCAGAACCCAGTATTTTCTCTGGATGACGACCCGAAGGTGGATTTCCTTTACGAACTTCTAGACTGGCTAGATCTTTGGAAGAGCAAGGATCTAAGCACGGGTAAGCTCACCAGGGATACCCATCGAGCTCTCCGTCAAACAACTCGTGCACTTCTGGAGGTTGTTCGATACTGCTTCGAGGAACTAGGGTTTAACTACGTGCTCCTGGGGAAGATACAAACTGACGGCCTTGAAGATCGCTTTGGCAAGTATAGACAACTGGCCGGCTCCCAGTATCACGTATCCATAAGGCAGATCTACGAAGGGGAAAACAAGCTACGGCTGCAGAGCACGCTGCCAATGATCACCACAGCTGGCGAAGATAAGGCTTGGGAAGGTCTCCACGAGCGAGTGGACACGACACGCCCTATCTGCAATGTGGTGGTGACCAGAGAGGCACTGTCAAAAATAGCAGGCATCCTGCCAGTCCTGGTCTACGTGGCTGGATACGCTGTTTACGCCACACTAAAAAAGCTGAAGTGCGAGGGATGCAAGGCCGCGTTGACAGAAGATAACAAGCTGGCCACAGTCTCGCTCGCACAGGAACACTATGCACTCGTGAAGGAACTGGACCGAGGAGGGCTAGTTTTTCCAACAATGTTTGCAGCAAATGCTGTTGCCCACAACTATGTTGTTGTCCAGCAAGTTTCGAGCCATTCAGAGTTCTTGAAGGTGCCCAACCAGAGGCAACTCGTTACAGAGCTCACAGTGGAACTCCTGGCGAATGAAGATACTTCAGACTTCGACACTTGCGACAATGGGCACACGAGTGAACTTGTCCTGAAGCACATATTGTGGTGCAGTACAAACGTTCTCTTAAGAAATTTCTGCAACAGAATGAACGACCGCGTTGTTGACGCGAATGCAAAACAGAAAAAACGAAAAGCCGAAACTCTGCGAGCAAAAAAAAGTTGCGACCAACTCAGCACCCGCTCGTCAACATCTCACTGTGCAACCATTGACGATTGAACAGTGATGCGCGTGAGGACGACCACAAGAGTGAGTCTTTGCTGTAGCATGTCTTTTAGACTTTAGTGCAGTGAGTGAAAGTGCGAGACCTTACAATGAAGATTTAAGTTGTCAAAGGTTCATAAATTTGTTCACCTTAAGCCAACAATGTGTTCGTGCTCCATCCTCATGCAAAGGCAACGCAGCTGGTATGTCGCCTGCGTGTGAGTGCAGATAGTATTTTTGCTATGTCCTTCATTTCATTTGTGCAATATCTTCGTGTGGTACTATGGCACAGAGGTTAACATGCCGTACACACACTGTGTGTCTCCGTGTCATTACATCTACCCACGGTCGTCTAAGATGCATGCGTGCGAAATTTCTCAACACGTATATTTGAGAAAAAAGCTCGATACAAGAAGGCTTGTTCAGCAGTATTCAAACGTGAGCCATTTCCTTTTGTAGTGTAAATGACAGCAGCTTCGGTCATGAAGATTCAAGACGTGCATCCGTTCGCATACATAACTTACTTTTAGACGCAATAACATAGCTCTGCCGTGTCCAGACTCAGTTACGTCGAAGTATTTAAGGGTATGGGACGACGTCCAACTGCTACAATATTATTGTACTTAGATATTAAATTTTAGCACTGTAATATGTGAATTGAACGCATCAGTGTTTTTTTTTTTTTTTTTCATTGCAACAATCAGATAACTCATTTTTATTGGAATGGGCAGAGGTCATCCGATTGACGTGCCGGTTTATAAAAGGTGCCAGTTTAGTTCGAGATTATATGTGTCCCCTTACTACCAGTGCTGTCATTTTAAGAAAAATGTTTACCACGCCATTTAGACATAATTTATAGCTCAGTTCGTTTCAAACGGGAGCGCATCTGTGTCGAGAAATCACCACAACAATTGTAGTCTATAACAATTTTGCTGCGTTCTAAAATTTGTTGTTTAAGACGCTTGGTGTTCACAGCCCTCATGTTAACTCAGAAAAAAAGAATCGAGTGAAAAACCGCGTTTTTATGACGTAAAAGATACGCGCGAAACCTTCAGCTCAGCTCTATAGCGCGGCGCACGTCAGCCTGCTGCCATGACGTCACCGGAGCCGTGTTCTGGCCTTCTCCTCTAGGTGGTGTTGGACAGCCCCTCTCCCTCTCCCCAGGCATTCCAGGGAGATGCGTTTTTGTAGTCCCGAAGAACAAACGCGCGCGCGCGCGCGCGCTCGAACTTTGGAAATGGCGGCGGGGCTGCCAGAAGCTCGGCTTGCGCCCGAGCGAAGAAAGAACTCAGCGCAAGCTCGTAGTTTGAGTGCTGCAACGGCGGGCGTGCTCTCGCAATGCTCGATGTTCTTGCAGCCGCGTGTACGCGTGCTGCCTTCGCTGCGTCTTGAATTAAAGTGAAACGGAGTCTAGACGTACATTCTTTCACGCGGTCGCGTCTTCTGCGAGAGAGATTCGAGCTGAATAAGTAAATTGAGGCAACAAAGATGGACCAAGTATTAAAGGTCTGTCAAAAATATCGGCTCACCAACGTCGCGCGTTTACGTAAAACAAAAAAAAAAAAAGTGTTAGTTTTAGTTGCAGTATAATCGAAAATCAGCGCAATTGAAATATAAATATAATTACTTGCATTACGCGGACGATCTGAAATCGATGAACCGGCGCTCCCAGCCTTCCGGAAAACATTGGCTGCCACGGCTGAAACGCTAGGCGTGCCCACGCCGCCGATCTGTACGTTCAATATCAAACGGGCTCCGGAGAGCCGTTTGATTAAACCGGTGCAGTTTGCAACATGGTCACCGGTTTGAGCAAACGTGCGACAACTTTGCCCAAACGAGTCGCCCATTTGCCCAGACGAGCGACCCGTTTGCCAAATAGGTGACCGTTATGGCTCATACGGGGGACCCCTTTGAGCCATACGGGCGACCCCTTTGACAAACTGGTGACCAGTATGGTTAAACGGTTACCGGTATGGACCCGTTTATTTTCATATGGGCGCCAAATGGTTTTTTTCAGTAGGGAGGTGCCTCATGATATTGGAGTAGAGGATATGCTCAAGTAGTTTGCAAGAAATTGAAGTCAATGAATTAGGGCGATAATTAGATGCGGAAGAGCGGCTGCCCTGTTTAAAGACTGGGAATTACCCTTCCCACCTTTTGGTCAGATGGAAGGCAGCTTTGAGATGAGGACTGAATGAAGATGAGTTTCAAATACTCACTAGAAATAACACGGGTGTTTCTTTTAAATTTTAGGGTTGATGTTATCGGTTCCAGCGGACGAAGTAAGTTTTAGTTTATCAATCAATGTTTTAATACCAGCGGAGTTAACGTTAATAGGATGCATGCGCTCGTAAAGCTCTTCAGGGAGAGTGGGGACGAAGTCCAAGCACTCGTTAGTAAACACTGATGAAAAGTATTCGTTAAACACAGAACTATCATGCTCGACGTTGCACATCCGACATTCCTAACTCTCCCCATCTTCCTAAACGTCCGTGTGTGTCCTAACACCAGAAACCGGAATTTTAAAGGTTAAAAACGGCACGTTGCGAATATGGAACGCGCACTTTCATGCAAAGCTGACGTCAAGTGACTCAAATCGAAAAACATGCATATTTACAGTATTGTTATCTCTTCTGGTGAAGGCTAAACAACCGTTGCATCCGTTTTCGCGCACGAAACGGTGACTCCCAGAGAAAGTAAGAACGCAGTGATTGTCTTTATTTTAACAATGTAAACACACTTGCAGGCGTGCGCTGATGAAGCCTCAAAATCAAAACTCTCGTAGTGTGATTCGTGACTGCTCCGGCTACTACCCAACCTCGTTGTCACGCCACTTTCTGCAAGCAAACACTAAAATTGCCAGTAAACACACAAAAGCGACATCGATACAATTATCTTGTAGAATATCACCTTATTTAATCATAACTGTTTCAATAGGCACTACAAGTTGTATTTATTTTAAGAAGAAGCAAAATTTTTTTGGTTAGAAAAAACAAAATATCAATGTTAAGTCTGGTAACGTTGTAATTTTGCCGAATCATTGCCACATCTTTAGAAAACTTCGACAAAAGTTGCGCCGAATTTTCGATTAAGGGGGGGTGGGGAAGAGGGTCGGGTTTGCCCCCCACTCAAAAACAAGTTGGTACGCCACTGCTGCTTAGCAAGTGTTTCCATGGCGATGGTGAGCTGCATGGTTGTCGAATGGAAGACTTCCTCAAGATCCAAAATGCACACTTACACACTCAGGGCAAAAGGCAGTTCATCAATCGGTGGGACATGTGTGTCGCCTAGCGGGATGCATATCTGTAGGTGGCCTGACCTCACCACCGTCGCTCGTGATAGCAGTTCTCGTTTATCATGGTAATAATACAAACTTTGCAAATGCCGCTCGTACTTGTAGCTTTCGTAGTAGGCGATATGCAAAACTGCTTGGTGGACTGGCAGCACTGTGCACGCGGCCATCTTGGTAGCGTCAAGTATCTTGAGTTTCGGTTTCTCAGCATTTCCAGGGCATGGACGCTCGGCCACTAAGTGCGAGTCGGAAATTATTGCTGTCTTACTTCCGATCACCGAACGTGAACGAAGGATCACCAAACGTGGACAAGCCTTCATGCTTTTCAACTCTGATGACACTTTTAATTCTTTTTTTTTATTGGGATTACGCATGAGGTCGTATACTGTTTAGCGGTAGACTGCTCCACGTCAGTACATGCGACTTAAGGTTGTTTTTTTTTTAATTTGTTACTAGCGAAATTTTTGCTTTTGTTTTTGTGCAAAGCTTTCGGTTTTTTTTTTAAAGGAAACTGTGCCCGGGGAAGTATTTTTCAGGCGTCGCAAAGAGCTTCAATTGGTTTTAGATAGCATTGACCTCAAGCACAGTTGACGGATGTTGCGCTATTCATGAAGATTTGTTCGACCCTGGCAGAATAACTGCATTTACTTACTCAATACCCCGAGCTTCTTTTGCACAAAAAAAAAAAATTGCCTCGGCTGCAACAAAAAAAAAAATAAAAAAAAAATAAGGGAGATTGTGAAAGGAAGTTGGCACCGCCTGTGTTGCTCCACTCGATGTCCGCAAAGTAAGTTTTCGCCGCCACCGACACGGAAGTTTTAGCCATTGCGATGAACCTAATTCGAACGCCACGCTCGATGGCGTTCCACAAAAGATACAGCAAAATCCCGTCGCTGTCTGTGTTAAGCAAACGGACATGTCGCCCGTGTCTGTTGTGTTTTCTATCCTACATGACCGCGTTTTAAATATTCAAGGATATTTTATCAATAGACTCTAAACAAAGTTTGTGCGTCTACTTTCCCGCACAACACTCTGAGAGCCAATCAGCGCAACTTACGGAGGCAGCTCAGCGAATGACAATGCCGAAACATACGTTTAGATAAAAAAAAAAAGCGCAGTCTGAGTTGTGACATTAAGCGAGGCAAGCTTGACGTTTTGCATTGCTTAATGTCACAGCTCAGACTGCGTTTTTTTTTTTTTTGGTCTAAACATATGTTTTGGCATTGTCATTCGCTGAGCTGCCTCCGTAAGTTGCGCTGATTGGCTCTCCGAGTGTTGTGCGGGAAAGCAGACTCACGGGCTTGTTTTAGAGTGCACTCTTCTGTTTAGTTTTAGAGGTGTTTTACAAACTTCGTTTACTCTTAGAAGTAAGGGTTGTATAGGGGTACACCCCTTGTACCACATGTAACTCCCCAAAACTATATTCGGACGTTCCTTCCACTGACGTCGAGCTGGCGATACCAACTTTTACGAGCGGCTTGATAGCTGTTGGATATAGCGTACTAAATAGCTAATATTCGTATCAAAGACTAGGAAAAAATACTGAGGATTTGCCGCATGGCCAAAAAACCTTGATAGTCTTACTGGGGACTTTATTGCGTACGTTGTATCGGTCGACTATCAAGCCGCTCTCGAAATT